GCTGTGTTTTGTTAGAATTCTCAGACTATCTGAGCTTAATCAACTGGGCATTATTTTATACTACTAAGTGTGATGGTTTGTTACACAGCATAATAACCAGAACAAACATACATACATATAGAAAAGTACACATTTCTTAAATATAATTTGATGAATTTCACAAAGTGAACACACCCATGTAACCAGCGCTCACATCAAGAGTCCCACTCTGCTCATTTTCAGTCATTATTCTTTGGTACCTGATCTCTGTCGGTGTCTTCAGCCTCACCTTACAGTGTTTCCTCTGCATATTTCCTAGGTTCAAGACAAGCTGTACGAATTGTAATTCCCAGAGCATCCCTTACATGTTGTCCATTCTTCTTGCCTTGGTATGTGCTGATCTTTTAGACTGAAACTTCCATTTCCTTTCCTTTTTAAATACTTTTTCTTTTGAACTAATTTTAGGCTTTTGGATAAGTTACGAAAACAGTATGAAAAGTTCTTGTAAACTTCTTACCCATGTTCCCCAGTTATCATCTTATATAACCAGAGTACGATGATCAAAACCAGGGAATTAACATGGATACAATACTTTCAACTAAACTACAGACCTTATCTGAAACTTCTGTATCTTTCTTAGTTTATCTTACTCTTGCTTGTTTCACAAGACTGCTCAGACATCATCTCCTCCTGGAAGGCTTCCCCAAGCCCCTGAGCCTTTTTTTCTCCTCATCCTCTCCACACACAAGTCATGCTAAGTGTCGTTCCTTCATGGTACTTATGATACTATGTTGCAACTGTATGGTTAAAGGGCTGAAGTCCTGGAAGGCAGAGGCCAGTTCTAGTTGATTTGGAATCCCACCTGATATGGAGGTGCTTATTCTGTGTTCTTGAGTGACTGAATAAGACAGTGTCCAAAGGATTACAGGGCAGCAGGTGTTGAGGAGTCCAGAGGAGCAGTCGTCGTCCAAGTATCCAAGCCGTGAGCACAGATGAAGCAAAAATGACTTAGTCTTGTTCTCAGTCAGATCTCTCTATGGCCCCTCCTTTTCAAGGCCCCGCCCACTCACTGACTCCTCCCCTCAAATCCACCTTTCGTGCTAGCCTCGCCCATTCCACGCCCACTTTCTCATTCCAAGCACCACCCAGGGCCTGTGGCCCGGTCCCTTCCATACTAGTCTATAATAGCCCCATCTCTCTCTTAAGCCCCGGCCCTGGGCGGGGGGTCTTTCTCGGCTCTTAAAGTCGCGTCCCTCCATAGGTCCCGCCTTCTGCCCTCTGGTTCGACCTTTCCTCTTCAGGCTCCGCCCGCCCCCGCGGGCCTCCGCCTCCCCAGAGGTCTTCCCCAGTGACTCGCTAGAGTACTGCTGAGGGGCGTGGTTTTACACCTCGAAGGGGCGGGACCTGGGGAAGAGGCGGTACTCCTCGCTCGGAAGGCTGTCAGCAACCCCTCCCCGGCGCTCGGTCGTTGCCAGGAAACAGGCATGGACGCTCTGATTTTGGCCGGGCCCAGCCAATGAGCTGGCACGCCACTGCCCAGTCGTGCGTCGCTGGGCGGTTACGTGTGGTGCGCGGGGGCGCGGGTTGCGTGGGGCGCGGGGCGGGGCGCGGCTAGTGCGCCTGAAAAGCGATGGCGGCGGCCTGAGCTTACCTAGCGGATCCGCGGCGGTTGGGCCTGGTCAGGGTGGGGGTTCCGTGAGTGAACAGTAAGTATGGGCCGGAGGGTCCCGAAAGGCACGTGTGGGCATGAAGGACTGAGCCACGACGGCCCCAGATTTGGTGACTGTATGGGTTGCGAGGGGACAGGTTGAGAGACTGCTTGTGGCGAGGGGCCGGGTGTGGGTGTCTCAGGTAGGGGAGCAGGGTGGGAGCTTCAGGGTGAGTGGACAAGTAATGAGCTGGCTTGTTTGAGTGGCTGCGGCGCTTCCAAGGGACCAAGTGGAAGGGACTTGCGAGCACGATTTACTGAGGGGCTGAGGCTGCCGTGGGCAGGGATGAGAGACAGCCTCGGGACCCGAGTGAGTGAGTAAGGCCCGTGCGGGGAGGAGAGAGGAAAAAGCGAAGGCAGGAACGTGCGGGCTGGTGGTCAGTTGATGAGAGAGTTGAGGGCAGGGCATGGAAGGAAGGACTGAGGGTTGCGAGACTTGGATGTTGGTTCCGAAGCCTCAGTGCACTGTCCTGCCTAGTGAGAGCAGTAGTTCTAGACTGAGAAGGACAGCATGGGTGAAAGTGTTGTGCACTTGGCTCTTCTGTTCCCATGCGCTCTACATATTTTGGAGGACCAAAAAAAAAAACAAAAAAAAAAAACCGTCGTTGGCGATAGTTAACTACGATAATGAAATTTTGGAGCCGTAGTCTTCAACAGAGTAATAACTGGGACCCTCGTTCCTTCACGTTCCTCCTTGAGATGGCAAACTTGAAGATAGTTCCTCTCATGGAGGTTTTTGGCCATGACTGCCTATGTTTGTTTTCTCTCCACCTGCTTCTGGGTAGCCTTACTTTCCTGCTGCTCTTCACCTATGCTGAGCTGTGGGGCTTTGATGGTTGTATTGGACTAACCACGTTCAGTTGTTGATTCTACTTTCATGAAAGTAACATGGGTTGTTGCATACAGTTACTATAGTTAGGCTCCTAAACAGGATGGCTTTGCTCTCATTTTCTTACAGTTAATTTTTCTAAAACACCACTTTATTGAGGTAAATTTATGTAAACTGCTTTTACTTGAAATATACATGTTCAATGAGTTTTGACTTTGTTTACATCTGTGAAATCATCACCGCTTTCAAGATACCAAACTTTCCTACCACCCCCAAAAGTTTTTTACTGTCTCTCTGCAATTTATCCCTCCCTTCACGACTTGATATTGGGTTCACTTTATTAGCATTTTGCAGGTTCCTATCTTCCTGCCAGCCAACATGCACATGAAAATTTTGAAAGTTCTGGAAAGCTGGGCTGACACTCAGTGATAATGGCTACTTTCACACCATTAAATTTTCCTCTCTGCTGACAGTCTGCCACAGAGCCTAGACACCTTCCCCAGCCTCAGGGGAAGAGTTAGGCCTTTTCTATCCAGACGTTTATCTGAGAATTAGGAGCAGCCCAAGTTTCCATTCTGTTCCAGAGTCTCAGCGTCAGAGCC